CAGGGCAGGCTGGCAGGCAGACAGGCAGGCAGGCAGGCAGGCAGGCAGGCAGGCAGGCTGGCAGGCAGGCAGGCAGGCAGGCAGGCAGGCAGGCAGGCAGGCAGGCAGGCTGGCAGGCAGGCAGGCAGGCAGGCAGGCAGGCAGGCAGGCAGGCAGAAGGCAGGCAGGCAGGCTGGCAGGCAGGCAGACAGGCAGGCAGGCAGGCAGGCAGGCAGGCAGGCAGGCAGACAGGCAGGCAGGCAGGCAGACAGGCAGGCAGGCAGACAGGCAGGCAGGCAGAACTGGCAGTTGTCACTCACGTATGCAAATCCCAGGCGAAATATTTTATATCCGTATACAAAGTATTTTATGAAATTAGCTGCTGCTGTGAATGTAGGAAAAATACGAGAGAGAACTAGTAATATGATATCGGCAGGCTGGCAGCAGGAGGTGACTGGAGTAGCTTTGTCATCGTTAGTCTTGGTTGGCAGCAGAGGACGTGTTATATATATACTCTCTGAGAGGTAAATCTGTACATATGCGCTCAGAGGTGTATATTACGGTGTATATATATACTCTGAGAAGTGTATCTCTGTGTACATATACTGCGAGGTGTATTTCTCAGTATATATATGTCGTGCCGAATAGGTAAAACTGGTCAATTAACAAGAACTCATTTAAAATTAAGTCCTTTCTAAAATTTTCTCTTATGCGTTTAAAGATATGTTTTTCATTTATGTTAATGTAAAAATTAATAATTTTGTACTAAAAGAACCTTAAAAAACTTACCTAACCTTATTACAACAAGCGCAATTTAATTTCACATAATCTAACTAAATATATTTTAGATAAATTTACAACAATTTAATAACAAACACCATGAAATATATTTTTTTCGTTAGGTTCAGAATGATTTTGCGAAATTATTGCGTACACAAATTTTCGCTTGCCTTATTCAGCAAGAAGAGCGATACTATTTAAGCCAAAATCGCAAGTTTTACCTATTCGGCACGACACAACACACACACACACACACATACCTCAGTAAGGAATCGTTCAAGACTCTATACACCGTGTACGTCAGGCCCATACTGGAGTACGCAGCACTAGTTTGGAACCTACACCTGGTCAAGCACGTCAAGAAATTAGAGAAATTGCAAAGGTTTGCAACAAGGCTAGTTCCAGAACTAAGGGAATGTCCTGCGAAGAAAGGTTATTAAGGGAAACCGGGATGATGACACTGGAAGACAGGAGGGTCAGGGGAGACATGATAACGAGATACAAAATACTGTGTGGAATAGATAAGGTGGACAGAGACAAGATGTTCCAGAGATGGGACACAGAAACAAGGGGTCATAATTGGAAGTTGAAGACTCAGATGAGTCAAAGGGATGTTAGGAAGTATTTCTTCAGCTACAGAGTTGTTAGGAAGTGGAACAGTCTGGCAATGATGTAGTGGAGGCGGGAACCATACATAGCTCATGGAGCAGGGAGAGGGAGGACTAAGTAGCGGTCAGTGAAGAGGCGGGACCAGGAGCTGAGTCTCAACCCTTGCAATCACAGTTAGGTGAGTACACACACACACATTATATATATATATATATATATATATATATATATATATATATATATATATATATATATATATATATATATATATATATATATATATATATATATCATATCTAGTTTTAACAACATATATAATAATATATTATTAATTATATCATATATATATTTATTATATATACAAACTTCAGTTTTAGAAACCACTAGGAAGAAATGATATGATGTAGAGTGCTAGCAAATTCATTTCTGGGCTTTTATCAATCGTTATCAATACTTTAAATCGTATTTACAAGTTATTTACTGCAGCCTTGTTGACTCTCTCTCTCTCTCTCTCTCTCTCTCTCTCTCTCTCTCTCTCTCTCTCTCTCTCTCTCTCTCTCTCTCTCTCTCTCTCTCTCTCTCTCTCTCTCTCGATAGGTATTTAACGCAACATAGTAACTAGTAGGCCTTATACGTTGTACGTAAGAAATATTCACCGGAATTCCTGCTGGCCTGAATGCGATAAAAAAAACAATGATTGGAAATTCCAGTGGTGAATCCCTTGAGCGCAGAGTAGCTACGGTATGTGGGGGGAAATGTGGCTCATTTGGTGTGGTGGTGACCACGTCTGGAGCTGTGGGCGACAAAGAGCACAGTGACCTCACAGTACGAAACACAGAAAAGGTCACAACAAGACAGAGATTTTGAACCTTCGTCACAGGAGATGTGAGGCATCCCAACTGAGTCTGTGTACCTTTCATGGTACAGGTTCAGTTGTACGAAAATATCTTTGTTGATGTTCATGATTCCTGTACTACTTAAGAACATTGTTGGTGTTTAAATTCACTCGTATTAATAAAACAGCTATTTTGGTACTTATTGATAAGAGGTCCATGCTCACATGCTAACAGATATAGCAGGATCTCAACTGGAGGTTGAAGACGGCGTTAGTCGACTGATGTGGGTCGCATCC